CGCTGCCACCCCCTGCGGCGGCTGGCAGGGCCCGCAGCTGGGGCTGGCTTTGTGGGCTCACGGCCTGAGCAGCCACACAGGCCCACGCACAGCGGGGCCCACGCCTCGTCTAACGCTCCGCTGCCCACCACCTCGCTGCCACCGCCTCGCAAGCCTGGCCCTCCACCGGGGGCCCATGCTGTCATTCTGCATGGGGCTCCCAAGCGACGCGGCAGGTCCTGCCCACAGCGTCGACGAAGCTCGGAGCTGACGGGCTCCCAGCCCTCTCTGGACAAGTGGGGAAACTGAGGCCCAGGAGCGCAGCTGTCTGGGCCGGTCCTGTCGGGTTCGGGTGCGGGGTGGGGGAGGGTCAGGGAGCAGGCCACGGGGCCATGCCCGTTCCCAGCCCCAACGTGGGGGTTCCCCAGCTCCTTTCTCCACAAGCCCTGGAGCCCAGGCTGGGGAGCCTCTTGGCACACTCGGGGACCCCCCCTCCGGGCCCCCAGATCTCATCAGACAGTAGCCCCTTCCTGCCAGGCTTCCCGACCCAGGGAAGATCCAGATGTGGGGAGGCCTGGGGGATGCGACATCACTTCCCCCCCGCACTCCCTCCCGCCCCGTGCCCACCGCAGGGCTCCTTCTCCGGAGGAGGCCCCTGGACCCGGGATGCCTCACTGAGGGGGGCTCCTGGACCTGGGAGAGAAGCTGCTCATGCGCGATGACCTGGCAGAGCCGGGGTCCACCCCCAGCCTCCGGACAGCCCAAGAGAGCTCCGTCCTGGGCAGCAGCAGCACCCCGGCTCCCCTTCCCCAGCCCCACCTGCCCTGCACCTCACAAACCTCCGTCACGGTCACAAGCAAGTCAAAGCAACTTCTATCTATTACGTGGGGGGCGCGGAGCCTCTGCTCCCCAGCACCCCCGCCTAGTCCCGCCTCCGCCGTCTCCCGCGCAACCCCCCAGCCCCTTACCGGCGCCTCCCCGGTCCTCTCCTCCAGGCTGACTAGCGCTGGGAGGCTGAGCGGCCGAGGACCACCGCACACAATGGCCCGACCCCTGTGTCCGCCGCCTCCTCCGGACAGAGCCCGTGCCAGACAATGGCCCGCCCTCTGCCCTGAGAGCTGTGGCTCTCCTGCCCCCTTACCTGAGCTTGGGGACGAGCTGCGTTTCCCTCCCCTCGGAAAGCCAGCCTGTGGTCTCCCAGGGCTCAGTCCTGCCACACCCCCACCCCCCATCCCCAACCCCAACCCCATCCCGCCTCACTGGTCCTCAGTCGCCATGGCGACCGCATCTCTAAGTGGGAGGGACTAGAATCTCCCCACATTCTTCCTCCTCCTCCCCGTGTCCCCCTGCGCCCCACCTTCCGCAGCTCTTGGGTCCACATGTGGAGGAGGCAGGGCTCCAGATGTGGGGGGAGGCCGGAGGGGGCACTAGCCCCTGGGGGGTCACCGTTCAGCTCCCTGGCCCAGTGGTAGGCGGGCATTGCAGAGCAGCTGTCCCCCGGCTGGGATCAGGGTCAGCTGGGGCCAGTTTCCCTTACAGTGGGTTCTGCTGGGTCTCCCTCTTTGTGGGAACGCAGCATATGTAGGTGGTCACACCTGGATGCCAGCCAGCCTGACCCCATGCAAACCGAGTTTGCCAGGGGGGAGCAAAGGAACACATAACCATCTATGCAAATAAGATGAGAGACAGGATCTCTTGTCTGTCAAGAAGCCTAAGAAGCCTCTGCTATTACTGGTACCCCAACTTCGGTGGGAAGGGGCACCCCTTCTCCAGAAGCCTTGACTGACCCCTTGACCTATTAGGAGGGGAAGGTTCGTGCTAAGAGGAGAGATGGGGGGCGGACTTCGGAAAGGGCTTTCCAGCGGTCCAGAGCCCGCAGGCCCGAAGCCGGACAAGCCTGAGCCGGTCTTCCCCGCCCGCGAAGGACAGACGCAGGCAGGGGTCTGGCTGGGCTTTGGGAGCCGGGCCCGTGTCCTCTGCCAGCCGTGATCCTGAGCGACCCTACTGACCCGCAGGCCCTCCCGTCCTCACTGGACTCTGTACTGCTTGGTAACGTGATGAGTTGAAAAACCCCTTCTAGGTCGGCCTGTCTCAGCGGCGGGAAGGCTCTGGGACAGGCACCGAGGGGCTGGGGAAGAGCCCGGGGTCCCGGGCCTGGTGCCTGCAGCTGGCCCGTGTGGTCCCAGGCGGGGCGCGGGCTCTCTTTGAGCCACGCGCGTAAAACGCTGGCTTTGCAGCCTACCCGGGAGCGGCATGGCTCACGGCCAGACTTAGTCGTATTTTGAGGAAGAGTGGAGTGAGTGTGCTGGCGGCGGCCTGGGGCACAGGGTGTCAGAGGCCGTGTCCGC